TATTCAGTAATTGGTAGTATTATATGTGTGTAGGATTTCCACTCGAGACTTGAGAGTAATGGGAGGGTTCGAGGATCTATTTGGTTTGATTCTTCGATATATATGATTCCTTTTTTTCCCCTTTTAATTTCATGCCATAAAAGAGGTAGCATGCATGGTAAAGGAAACCGTACCGGAAGTCATACCGGATCCGTCTGTGGTATGGTACTTTGTGGTACGACCGTGATTCAACCGTTGTGTACCGGTAAAATACCGTTTTGTAATTAAAAAATATATTTTTGTTAAAAAACCGTACCGTCAGATTCAGGATACCGTTTCGGAGTAATACCGAAATATACCCGATAACAAACCTGAATTAAGCATAGATAATATAAAATAAAAATCAACAAAGTACAACATTCTCAAACCAAACAACATTCTCATACTACATAATATTCATTAGGAAGACAAAAGCAACGAAATATGTTTAACATCACTGACCTCCAAAGTATGCTTATTATTACAGATGAGTCTAAAGATTGTAATGTGAATTGAAGAGTCCCATGACAGCAAATCATGCACGGCGCCAGAAAAGAAGAGAAGAGGAACGGAGAAGTGGCAGTCGCGGGTCGTCGGTTCCATAGCAGCAAATCATGAACGGTCGCCAATCGCCAGAGGTGAAGAGGAGGAGCGGCGGGGTGGGCCTGGGGAAGAAAGAAGAAACGATTAAAAGCCTGGCTGCCAATTTTCGTTAGAGAACTTATTAGGGTTTGTGGCCTTCTGCCGATTTTTTTTATATAATTTGAAGTTCCAAAAATGACAGACGTTTTCATTAAAATATCTCTACCGCCGGTTAGACCAAAACCGGCCGGTATTTCCTTTTGTACCGATTAAACCGAAAAAATCGACCGGCACGGTATTTTGAGTGTCATTAGTCTATAGTATCGTTTCAGGTCCGATTTCCGGTTGAACCGACCGGTACGATCCAGTTTCCTGGTCCATGGTAGCATGAACGAACAAAAGTGACTTTTCACAAGGGTAGGTTGTATTCTCAATGTTCTCTATTTTTGTTTCAGAAACTTAAATAGATTTTTAAGAACGATTTTCTGAAAGGAGACACATACTAATCCGGTGCTACCTATCCATAGGGAAGAAGGATTGATGATCAATCAATTGCCTTTCAGAAAAAGAAGAAAATTGAGGGGGTGAGAGGTAGAGAGAGCAATACTTTTTAATGGTACCTCTTTGTATTATACACCTTACATATCGCGTGCATAAAAAACGTCACCATATTTACCTATTATTTAGAATCCAAATGATTATGATTTCTCGCAAATAAAGATTACTAATTTTTTGTGAAAAAGTTGTTAATTATCAAATTACATAAGGTTTATCACTAAAAATAATTTCACAACACATTGATTGATTTCAAAGGGTGATTGTAATTTATAAGACGAACTTGATCATATTAATTAAATTGGTATAAGTTATGTTTAAGTTATTGACTTTTGGGATACCCATATTGTCATGTGAAGTATCTTAGCAAATACACATGGTTGTCTACCCAAACATAACATCATCCAAGGAGAGTTACTGAAAACCCATTCGGCGTGGCCCACATCCAAGAGGGTTTAGTGTGGGCATCCTATTCAAGATCATCCAAGTATGCATGATGTCATCTTAAGGGGTCTGTGCATTTCCATAAACCCTCTCGTACTCGACCCTCCAAGAACCTAAGTGTCAAGCATGACATCATCCAAGAGGGGTAGACACTTGCACTTCCAAGTAATCAAGCATGATAGGCCTCATGGCCCATGGGTATCAACATGGTACCTACCCAACAAGCTCATAGAGACTTTAAGTGTCATACAGGCACACCCTCACATATTAGACCACATAGGTGTCAAGCATGATGTCATCATTAAGACAGAGCATCAAGGTGCTTCAGACCAATGTGGTCACCACTGTCATGAGATGATGACCATAGTCATCATGACGACCCCCAAAACGTGATACCCTTCAGCTTTCAGGTATGATAGATGATAGAACCCGGTGTTCCGAGCTCTATCCAGGGATTTAAGAAATGGGGGGTCAATGAAGGTTTGACCCTTAGAAGTGGAATTGCATAAGAGAAGGAAAAGAAGGAAGTTGAGAATAGAAGAGGGAGGGAGTAGTGGCTGCTCAGCAGCCTTGGGGAGAGGAGGAAGAGGTTTGGTTGAGGGAGAGAGAGGGAGATTAGGGGTTGTTTAGGTTAAATCTTGCTTAGTGGTTTAATCCCACGTACAAGTAGTTTATATAAAAATGGATAATTCCCTACTGCTACCCGATTTATCAAATATTCCCCAATTCCCGAAATAGTTCCAATAATAATAATAAAAACGACAATAATTCAAAGTACTAAAGTGCAAGTTCTCATCATCCCCGCTTTCTTTGAAAAGCAACCTTGTCCCCAAGGTTGTTCCTCCAGCTCACTGGTTCTCCTCTTCGCCATTTCCGACGTCCTCAGTAGCGTCCTCTGCTTCGTCTTCCCGGCGTCCGATGAGCATCATCAGGTCCAGCTTCGAGCACTGATGGCCAATGGTGAACCGGCCATCACAGTTGAAGCACTTGCCCTCCCGTCTCTTCTGTTCAATCTCAGCCGGAGAGAGTCGCACGACCCTTTTGGTATGTGTCGTGGCCCCACTCTGGTCACTGGTGTCGTATTCCCACTTCTGGTGTTAGCTTTGGAGGCACTTCCCGCCGCGGATCCTCCCCCGCTGCCACCAGCACCACTGCTTCCACCCCCTTCACTTGGCCTCGTGTAACGGCCAATGATGCTCCTCAAACTGGCAAGTTCTTCCTCTTTGTGACCTGCAAGACGAAAAGCAGCCTTCAGAGAATCCGGCTCGAATACTCTGACTGCCGCTGCTATCTCAGTTTTGAGACCCGCCATGCACAGCCCAACCAATGTGTCCTCTGGTACTCCCGTGCACTGATTACCCAGCTTGAAGAACTCAGCGCGATAATCGGCCACCGTGTCGATCTGTTTCAGCTTTGCGAGCTGCTCCGGTGCCCACCCTTATGATTTTCCGAACGGGTATCGGAGCTCCTCCTGAAACATGGTCCAGGTGATCAAGGTCTCAGATGCCGCGTAGGATCTCTCCATCCACTCCCACCACTGAAGCACGTCACCTTCCAAGTAGAAGGATGCCAGATAAGCTTTCCTCTCCTCCGGAATCGGGTGGTTTTTAAACCACCGCTCAGCTGCATACAACCAGAGACATTCGTCTTCTTGCCCATTAAATTTTGGAAACTCAATGGTAGGAGGTTTAGCTCGGAAAACTATGCCATCAGTTCCTTCATAAGTATGGCAATACGACCCATACCTGTCCTCACCCGATGTCCTCCATGGCTGCCCCTGCGAGAATCCCTGCCCTCTGCTCTGATTTCCTGGTTCGTAGTACCCCTGATAGCCGCCAGGCTGGTCCGGGTACCCACCAGGAGCTTCGGGTGCCCCATACGGACCTCTCCAGCTTGCGGATCCCTTGTTGTCCGCTCTTCCCGGTGGTTGGTAGGTTGGGTTCGGTCGATGTCCGGTTCTACTGATAGACCAATAATTACACATGTTTCTACCCCTATTCTTGATCCGTTTGAGATGTCGATTCCCACATTTTAGGCCGATTTCACGCTAGGTTGTTCGTGTTTGTGATATTTCAGGTCCTAGCACATGAATGAAGGCCTGGGAACGAGTTCGGGGTTGATTGGACGAAGATTGGACGTTTAGCGAGAAGCTGGGAAGCCACACGGGCACCATTGCACCTCACACGGCTGTGTAGGGGCCCCTTGTGGCCGTGTGAAGGCTCGGTAAAAGCCACACGAACAGCCTGGGGAGCCACACGGCCGTGTGGCCTCTGCCCGTGCAGCTTGCCTGGTTTCCCACTAATCGAAACGCCGCGTTTGGACACTCACACGGGCAGCTGGGAAAGTCACACAGCCGTGTGGCCTGGCCGTGGGAGTCGGGAATTTCTGGTTTTAAGCCAATTTCGAGCCAAAGGAGAGAGAGAGCTGGGTTTTGGTTCCCAAACACCCAAGGGACGAACCCTAGAGAGAGAGTGACTTGGGAACATTCTTGGAGCTATTTTGGAGGATTTCTTCGCCATTGGAGCTCGGGAATCAAACTTGGAGATGGAGATTGAAGATCTAGATCATATTTCTGCAGTCTCTCTCTTCTCTATGGAGTAACTTCCCTTCACTTAGGTTTTGAGGAACCCTAGTTCCATGTGTTAGGATCTTTCTTGTATTAAGTTTTGGATGTTATATTGTTTGATTATAATCGATTGAGGCATGACATATTGAGTCAATTGAAGTCTGATCAAATTCTCTTGATTTCTGCTTTAACCTATGGTAGATAGAATCTGATTAGGTTAAGAGAGCTTCCTTGATTGATAGTGGTGAATTGGTTGTACGAGAGTTAATCAATTCACTGCTTTGTATTGGAATTCATTCCAGTAGTGGAGATCTGTGTGAATCGCCTTAGCAGTCTATCCCGGTGAAGGCTAGTCGCCTGCCGGGTATTCTGTCTAAGAGGGCTTGGTCAGCTTAAGAGATTCCAAGCTAATTTATGATCTTCCGCAGTTTAATCAACAGTAGATCAACCAAAGGTAATTGCAACTTGGACCTAATTGAGGAGCTAGGGGGAATCATACCTAAGTGAGTTCCCAATTTGTAATTAGTAGAGTAGTTAGTAGAGTAGTTTAGTAAATCAATCCTTAATCTAGTTTGCTAGATAATGAACTGAAGCTGAGTAATAGTAACTCTAGAGACCCGTGGATTTGATATTTATTACTTGTGCCACTATACTGTAGTCCCTTTCAATGGTTACACTTGGCCATTGTTAGGTGTTGTGTCGTAGCGTGTCATCTACCCACCTCGGACCGACCAGTACCGATCCACCCGGGTCTGGTTCGACCCAGTCAGGTTCGACAAGCGCCGGTCCCCCTAGCTCGGTTCGACCACCTTCGGTCCGCCCCACTCTGGTCCCCCTAGCTCGGTTCGACCACCTTCGGTCCGCCCCACTCTGGTCCACCCAGGTTTGGTCTGCCCAACTTCAGTTCGACCCGCCATGGTCCACTCGGTCCCGGTCCTCCAGACAGGAGCGGACCCCATTCGACCGGGTCAGCCACCCTGCCCGGTCCGCTACCCCTCTGGTACACCATTGGGTTGGCCGGTCGGCCCACCAAGTTGAGCCCGTCATCTTCGGCCTCGCCATCCAAGCCCAACCATCCAAGCCCATTGGCATCTCTCACAAATCCCCCCACCATCTCCGGCCCATCATTCATTACAGGCCCTTCCGTGTCGTAGCCTGGCATCATACCCTTGCCCTTGCGCGCCGCCAATTCTTGGGCCGTGGGAAAGGGTAGCAGGCCCGCTTCTATGTTGGGCTCGGACGAGCTGAAACCCTGGACAAGCCACTCCAGCCGCCGCCACGACGCCGCCCCCCGCCACCGAGGAGCCCGCGGCCAGCGCCGCCCCTGCGCCTTCGCCTTTCACCGCCGCCACGCCAGTTTGGTTGCCGCCGGCGCCTCGCATCTTCGCCTGGCTCGGCGGTTGCCCTTGACGCTACGTCACGAACTCTCTCAGCTTGCTTATAGCCCACCAAATCTCCTGGGAGTCTGCATGACAAGCTTCCTGATCCCGAGTATGTGTGATCAGTACCTTCTTCAAGAGAGTGCGAAGGTCCTCTTCCTCCGTCACGTCCTCCACCACGCCGTCCTAGCGCCCTTTGCTGGCCGTCGGCGGTGGTAGCCTCGACTGCGCCGTCTTGGGTGGCGTGGTGGCGGCCTGGGTCGGCTTCGACATCACAGTTGTCGCGGTCACCACCTCCTCTCCGTCACCAGCCTGGCTCGCAGCTCCTCCCACGATCGCCTTCTCCTGTGCGGCTTGTGCAGGCGTCATTGACTTCGTCAGCACCATCCTGTTCTCCTTTGCTTGATCAAGAATGGGGCTCTGATACCAGATGATATAACCCGGTGTTCCGAGCTCTATCTAGGGATTTAAGAAATGGGGGTCAATGATGGTTTGACCCTTAGAAGTGGAATTGCAGAAGAGAAGGAAAAGAAGGAAGTTGAGAATAGAAGAGGGAGGGAGCAGTGGCTGCTCGGCAGCCTTGGGGAGAGGAGGAAGAGGTTTGGCCGAGGGAGAGAGGGAGATTAGGGTTTGTTTAGGTTTAATCTTGCTTAATGGTCTAATCCCACGTACAAGTAGTTTATATAAAAATAAATAATTCCCTACTGCTACCCGATTTATCAAATATTCACCAATTCCCAAAATAGTCGCAATGATTCGAAATAATAATAAAACGACAATAATTCAAAGTACTAAAGTGCAAGTTCTCATCAACAGACTATTTAGGTGTCAAGCATGAGACGCCTACCTAAATAGACCTCATGTCACATCCCATCAAGCATGCAAGAAATAAACACACATAGCTAGTAAGGTAGCGAGATAAATCATCTAGTAAGAACAAGAAACCTACATGTCATAGAAGGCTACTTATCAAGTGATGTCTTAAAGTCCTCAAGGTATCAAGTGGTCTATGTAACACCCTTCAACTCTACAACCGACATTCATTACATATTTTAAAACTATGCAAGTTCGTAAATATTTACTTTAACCAAGTTACAAGACCTGAAGCATATTCAAACATGTACATTAGAAAGCCCCTTTTTCTTTCTCCCAAAACCTACTATACACATGAGGAGATTCAAGTCATCCGCCCATCTCATCGTTGTAAAACAGGAGCTTGCCTTGTGACAGCTTCTACTATTGCTTCTTAGCAATCTAAGGGGAAAATATTGACGAGAGTGAGACGTCACCTCAGTGAGTAAGCCCTAATATAGTAACAAAACTAATAAAAACATGATATCAAGCATTAACAACATTAAGCTCAATTCCATCCATTCATACTTATTTTCTATCTTATACTTAAATCATCATGATAATGAACTTCATATCATGAAGTACACACACACACACTCAAATACATTCAACAGAAAAGTTTCATCCACCATTTCTCACACAGTTCAACAATGGAGCTAGTTTGTCATGCACCCCATCATTTCCTTCGTCCTTCTTTCTCCCCCTCCTCAGCCTCCTCCCCCTTCTCCTCGATGCCTAGGCCTCCCCCCCCCCCCCCCCCCCCCCCCCCCCCCCCCCCCCCCCCCCCCCCCCCCCCCCCCCACACCGACCGAAAGCACAGGTAAGTACCTCCCATGGCCCGGGCAAAACAAAGTTTCTCGCCTACTCGCCTTTATAAAAGGTGGCATCTCACCACAATATTAACAATGAGGCTTCGCACCTCGAGACTTCTCACCTCTATCACAATGTGGCATCTCACCACACAACTAAGGCTTCTCGCCTCTATACGATCTGGTTGCTTCTCACCACCCATGCCAATATGGCCTCTCACCATAATCGCTACCGTGGCTTCTCGCCACCATCCCTACTCCTCTACTCGCTCTTTGGGTGCATGACTTACAATCAATTATCAATTACCATTAATATTTATTATTTACTAATCATCATAACCATACACAATCATCCACATCACCATCATCATTGTGGAGGTCCTTCATGCCTCTCATCCCACATTCACCAATCATTTATATCATATTCCGCTTCTTGATCTAGTATTTGGGTCGCCTCATGACCCAAATACCATGTTCATATTAGTTGAGCGACAAGGTTAGGAATTACTCACAAGTTTGTTGTTACTCTGATATCCCTTTTCCTTTGGACGCTTCTCCGACTTGGTCCTTACCTTTAATAAGATCATAATCCATGTTAAATCACACCCATAATGCACATAAAAAAACATACATTTGCATATAAAATGGTTAAATAACTCAAATTGGGGTCAAACCCAAGATCTACCAAGCAATACAAGGAAACTCGGTCTACCCCTTCTTGAGAATGTGGTTGAGTTTTAGGTGGCTCTTGGTTGGGTTTCTTTTCCCCCTCTTAGCAATGAAAATTCAGTCCCAAGCCTCAAAAACACAGTCGAGTTTTCCCCCCAAATTGGGTGTGACAGTATACTTGGAAGCAAGGGGTACATAAAAAAGCTACATATACCTAAATCAAAGTACTATAGCAATTGAAGAGCAATGACACCTAATAGCTATAAATAGGAGAAATAAAATTGAAATGAGTTTACAAAACCACAACTTCGACTCATATGGCAAGTTTATCTTTTTCTCGGCAAAGTAGTCGTGTGAGTTTCTGGAGCTCACACTGAACCTTCGTATCAGAAGAGTAATATAATGTTGCTTGTTCCAAAAATAATCATCAAACGCCATGTTCGAACATTGTTCGGACTTCGATGATGTGTGAACCGTATAATTATTCTTCAAAGAAGTCAAAGTGTGTTCATTAATACTATTACTAAATCTTTCTCGACCATAAACGTACACTTATGTTGTGGAAATTCGTACATAGAAATATGTTCGTACTTCCCCAGTCTCTCCTAAATTGTACCTACACCCACCCCAAGGAACTTGTTGAAGACTAGGGTAGCAACGTATTGGGTCGGGGCGGATAGTTCATATCCATTATCGTATCCAATATCCATTATTGATAATATTCGGATTCGAATTTTACCTATATTCTAATCGATTAAGTAAGATTTGGACGGATATTCATGCTTGTAAGATATTTGTCTCATCCATATTGAAGACTGAATTAGGTGTAGTACTTCACGAGAACTTCGGCCTTCATGAACTATAAGAACCTACAAGGTCTATTGCTAGTTCACTTCAGTTGAAGTTTACCAACTCATCAAATAATCAAAATTTTCCAAATGACAGAAAAATCACATTCCTAACCTCTAATCTTCCTCCATTAAAATGTAGTTTCCAACGATTGAAAAATCATACCCGGGGTCGCACTGGAAAAATCAGTGATAGGGTATTTTATGTTGAACTGTGGTTTAATCGTGGTTCAACTATTTTATACCTCTATATACCGCACTTACCAATTTCGCTTCCGATAATAGATTTTTTTGGTTGAACCCACCAATAAAATACGGTTTTTTCAATCCTTCTTAATTTCTAAACCTCAAATGTACTTTGCCTTTCTCACAATTGTATATATCCTTTTCTTTCACCTTTTCAAAAGTTTACGGCCTGTTTGGATACAATTCCGGAAGAAATGGAAATGGAATTACATTTTCATTTTCTATGTTAATAGAATTCCATTTCCAATTTTTGTGTTTGTTATAATTTCTACAACTATGGAAATGAATTGCACTTTTAACTATAATTAATAATATAATATATTTATTTTATCTTGAGAAATGGACTATCAATGATAGAGAAAGATAGTAGAGTGAAAATTGATTAATAAAATAATAATACATAATGATGGGACCCACTAATTTAATTTTCATGAACCCAATTCCTACCACTTTTGATAGGAGCTAGTACTTGGCCCGCGCTCCGCGGCGGGGTAAGTGTGATTCCAGTTGTTTTGTGGATTTTGTTATGTTCTTTCTGCTATACCATTCGCAAATAGTTTAGATTCATTGCGCGAGAGAGCGCAGAAATTAACAAACATATTAACAATCTTTGTGCACACCACACATATACATCTGCCATAGTTTTGTCTTCATTGAAAATAGGGAATAAAAACTTTAGTATCTGATGCCCTTGAAGAAATTAAAAAACACAAACACATTTGCCATAGTTTTGTCTTCACTGAAAATAAAGAATAGAAACGTCAGTTTAAAATGGAGAATTCTGGGGGTGGATGGGATACTTCGGTTGGCCTTTCTGTCAGTAGTGCTGATGGTCACTTATCTATCCTTGAGGTGTGCCAAAGTGTCGCTACTCTTATTTGGGATACGGCTGTTCTGGTTCTGTTCTTCAGATCTGAGGAACCGATGTAGAGCTCTCCTGCAAACATTCTGCTACATCTTTTGACCAGCAACGCCTTGGCCGATTCTGCATCGAGTTTTTTGTATTTGCTGGGTGACATTCCTATTATTGATAGTGTAGCCTCGTGGTCCAGTATGGCATCAACACCATCATCTCCTTGCTTGCATTTGACTTCCAACTCATAGTGCAGCCTAGTCATAAGTATAAGTTCAGAAACTTGTTGGCTTATTCGTAGATAGATTGATTCACATGAGAAGTAATTGTCGTTTTGAAATAGAAAACTTACTCTGGCCAGTCCTCAGTCGCTTGACATATGGCTTTTCGAAATTTCATTTGTGAGATGAAGAACTTAACACGATAGAGTATCTAGCATGAACATCAGATATTGATAAGATATAGGTCTACGAAAAATGTAGGTATACAGTATAGGAGTTTGGTTTATGTTCTTTCCCTCACTAACCTTGTGGACAGTCTGATCAGATGCAATCATTGTTTCCATGTCAGAGAGTGTCTTCTTTTCGATTCCTGATCGAAGGCAGCCTGTCTTCTTACTGGTATTGGCATCCATGAAATAAACTTGCCTGCGAATGTAAAGGAAGCTGGTTGTAGCACAAAAGAGACAAAAGTGTCAATGTAATTGGTTTTGGCCTACTAGCAACAAATATGATTCAAAAAATGGAAAGGATTCTGTCAAACTAAATGTACATGTGCATTATCTCCTGGACTGGGACTGTATAAGATCTGATCATGAGTGCACTGGCAGGAGTGGATTCGAACCGATACTTGTATTTCTGGTCGGCTAGAGGTGCCACCCGAATGACAGACTTGATTGTAACAATCAGAGGCAGATGAGCCTCAGCTGTCGGGGCGTTCTCT